TACGAACTGTGTAGAGTAAGTAGTCAAGATTTTTGTCTTTATAACTTATTGAGGATTTTTTTGAGGTAAGGATTTAGAAGAAGACTTGCGAGTTAAAGGAGACAGTGTTGAAAAGTTCTAAAATTTTTTCATCAGTTTAAAGAGTCCAGTCATGTAGTAAAATACTCATTCCACAAAAGTGGGTAGGGAAGTAACCACTTGTGAATAATTGTTGATGGAAACGAAATAATTACTTAAGATAATTAAGCGTGGAAAAACATTTTGGTTGGAAAGGTAAGAAAGATTCAATTAAGAGGAAAATAAGTCTGAGCTACATGAGTCTTTCAAGATCTAGCTAAAAAAGCTGTTTTCTTGCTTTCGGTTTAAGAATTAAACGCTGCGTGGTTGTAAATCGCGTAAAACGTACTCTCATATAAACAAAAAATTTCCTAAAGAACATTTTTTATGGCATATTTTTCTGAGGTCATTGCTGTTTAAAAATTTTTTCTACTTCAAAGCAGATTTTGTTTATAAGTCAAAGAAATCAGTAAAATTAGTACGAATTTGGTCAGGATCTCAGTTCATTTGAAATATATAGTACAACGCGAAAGATAAGGTGAATAATTACTTTCCTACTTAATCCCATAAATTTAAACGGACAATGTAAATCATTTTTTTGGTGAGTTACCAGGCAAATTTCCAAACTAAAGTAAAAAAGCTTTTAAAGGTGCCCAAACATGAAGAATTTTGCAGGTAGCTGTAGTCCGAGCAATGTGGCAGATGCTGTCAAGGCTAGTACTGAAGTAACTGCAAAGTCCTTACCTGCCGATTAGGGGGAGTGTAAGAACAGTCAAAAAACATTTGTAGTCTTAATCAAGCTTACTTTGTCTAAAAACGTTTCTTGGAATGTTCTTAAAGGTATCTTTCATGGCAGAGGCAAAGCTTAATTTTTTTTGTGCCTCTGAAACCTTCAATTGAAGTGTTTTTCAAAAGCTAGCAGCAACAATACATTTAATACATATCTGCAAAGACGCCGCGAAAGATCAATGTGCGTTAGAGTAAACAGCATTTTAGTTATTCGTTGTATATTACACCTGTACCTGACACAAAACAGCTGCATTTATTCAGACCTATATCATTTAATCGTTATAGGATACTCGTTTTTTGTTTTACATTCCTCGATGACACTGAATTTTTGTATAAAAAGTCAACTTCCCAGTGACAGAAACTTTCAATAAAACGGCGTGAAAAACCATATTTTGGCTTGGTTTTAACGTGCAGCAGTGTTGTTGATAAACTATACAAATATATTGTTACTAACAAATGGTTTTCAATAAAATTTAAGTTTGACAAAAGCCAAAAAAATTGCTCATTTTTAGCACCTTTTAATGAACAATAATATTTCATATTATAACAATATTATAATAACTTGAAAAAAATGTTTAAAACCATAATCATACGCTTAAGCAAAATAAAAGTAAGCTGTTAGTATAATTCTTCAAGCAACTTTTATTTTGGTAACTGTGAAAAGTTTTTATTTTTATCATACAGATAATTAAGGCTTTAACGTAACACATTTATGTGATCTATTATCATTACTTTTTTTGTGCAGCTCCGCGATGTAGTTGCTAAATTCAGTCTCACTTTTTTATTACTAGTACTGTCGATAGCAGCTTGAAAGCTAGCATTACTAATTATTATTTTACATGTGAGTACAGGTCTTTATTTAATTGTTTGAATTATTTATTTATTACAAAAGAAAACCTCATGGTAATTTTTCTGTTACCTCAGTTTCTCGCATTATTTATATTTTCAGCCTCACTTCGAATTAGGAAGCTGTCTTTGCAGAGTTTTGACTTAACTGATCTAGAGTGCTTAAGCACTTGTAATTTGCAAGATTTTAAAGCAATCGAACTCGAAAATTATATTTCAACAGTTTCAGCAGAACTCTAAAGAAAGACACCATAATTTCTGAGTATTGACAGAAAGCCCGACTTCGCCCTCAGTCTGGTATTATTTTACCCATCTTTATTACAGCCTCCTTCTAGAAACTACAGAACAAATAACCTGCATATGCACCAAAAGCCGTTTATTTGCTTATTATATTAGAATTTAACTATTTACTGAATAAAAAAGAAGGCAACTGTTTTCATGCGCTTTTTAGAGACGTGTTGAAAGCTATACCAGGAAGGAACAATAAGAAACTTAGTGTACAATATCACTGGAAAGCTTATCATTTCATTCACGAACCGACGACCAAAAATGAAGAAATTGGTAAAACAGGGTAGTGAAGAAAATTCTGACAATTGTTGAACGCGGCTATCTTAGAAAGTGATGATGGAAGAAATTATTCAAGCTTATTTTATCAACTTTGTGCGCATCATTAACAAAAGAGGAATGACTTTAAGTCAAGTGCACACAACTGCGATATCTCTATCACTGATAGTGAGACAGGACAAAAGCAGCTATACCGCAAACAATAATGAATTTTGATGTATTCATGAATGTCAATTCGCTCAGATAATGAAAAGCTGTGAAACGATAACAATAAATGGTTCACAAGAAACTGTTTTATAGACAAAGACTTTTTTAAGAGCACGTGAAATCAGCAGACAAATTTTATCAAGCCGATATTCTCTGCTTCTTCTTCACAGGGTTCTGTATTTACAATGATATCTTCATAGTAAACGAATCTTCGTTTTCATAAACTTAGTAACAATTGCTAAATTATTTCTTTTAATACCTGTGTATTACTGAAAAAAGATTGATTTTGTGCAGAAGAAAAGACCAGATTAAAAGGGTAACTGTTGTCGCTGATCTTGTTCGATATTTCTTGAAAATCTTTCCTTGATCAGCTGTTGGCAATAGAAAAACTGTTACTCTCTAAGCTCACATCTTGGTTATTTATGAAATATGCGCTAAAAAGGTCTGTCAAAAAAAGCCTTGGAAAGGGGAAGTGTTAAAAGTTGTTAAATTTTATGTTTTTAAATCTAATTTCGGCTTGCATAATAGCTGTTCATCTGTCAGGTAAAAGTTATTGGAATCATTATCTCGTTAAAGTTTGCCTCTTATCAAGATCCGCTAAAGAAGTCAGCTTTTTCAAAGTGTAATAAAACTGGGCTGACAACAACTGCACTTTATATATTAGCTTTACCGTTCATTTTTTTTTCTATTTTCGTTGTTATTTCAACCGTTCCAATTTGATCTTTATTCTTCTGTTTTCTACGTTAGCGGTCGAAGATTTTTAACAGGAAGAATTAGTAATTTACATTGAACACTCCAGTTTATGTTTTATTACAGTCGCTTGCGAAGCATACTCACTGTTTGCAGTCAATGTGATAGTTAGTAATTGTAGGCATGAAATACAAACAGGAAAATTAGTGATATACGTAAAATAAGTACTAGAAAGATAAACTGGATAAATTTGGAAAACAATATACACTAAAAGCGTCGTTGAAAAATTGGATGTATAGTTGAAGAAAACGGCATCGAGTTTTTTCTTCTATTATGAATAATTCTAGAACTGTTTTTTAAGATACTTAGTCAAAGTCACAAGAGTTACTCTCGACGCTAAAGTTTCAGGCTCGAGACTATTCACCTTTAAATCCTATTACAACAAAAAGTATTGTGCTTTTGAGAAATACAAATTTCTGTCTATATTAGAATGCGTCTTCAACACCTTTACAAGGTCAGAATGACTTTTCACAGATACGAGGAAGACAGTTCAACAATACAGTATTTGCAGATTATTGTCTGAATTTTAAGCTAAACTTGTACAATCACAGTTGGTATGAAAAGTTTTGTTTATACAAGAATTTTTTCATTTGCCAACAACCTTAGCGTTAATTGACTTTTTATGTATAAATTATAGCTTAGCGGTTAAAACAAGGCTTAGTTTTTCAGGAGAGTAGAAATGCAGATTATCAGTTTTGAAACAACTGAAAAAGCCTTTCAAAGAAAAATTTGCATTAAGGAAGACTCTGAAGATTTGAGAAACAAGCAGGAAAAATAGCAATAAATTTATTTTCTAATTCATTTAATATCGCTGTAAGGTCTTCTAGAAATTGCATCTATCATTCTGTACAATTTTTTACTATTCTGATTACAATGGAAATCTATTATTCCTGGAATGCGTTCGTTTTTGAATCAGAATTGCGAGTGGAATTTTCTTATAATCAACCAAATATAAAAAAAAACAAAAATTTCAACTTAAAATGACTTTTAATGACGTATACAACCTGTTTATTTACCTAAATTGTCAAGGTTTTTTAATTATGATGATATGAGATTAAAAATTTGCGTGCAGCTCCAACTCTGCACAAATTTCAAATAGGGCTATTTTCTCGTTCTTTGCAACATTTTGTGCTTCTTGATATAGCACTAAAACTGAGCACAAGTTATGTTTTTGATACTACTGCCAATACTACAGTACTTGTTTACTTAGAAGCCTTAAACAAATTAAGTTTTATTAGAAACGCTGTTTATTATAAAAAATAAAGAAAAAAAAACGAAAGTAAAGGTTGTAAATCAAACTAAAATGTACTTTTGTCTTTCGACAAAAAACTAAAAATGAAACGCTTTGCGTCATATAATTCTATACAATCACCTATTCATTATCATTGAAGCAG